ATTCTTTGAGAAAATTTGGAAGTTTAGGGTTGTTTCGTGACATACAGAAAGTTCAGGAGTTTTGTGAAATGTGTCCTAAAACCAAATCAAATAGCATTCCTAATAAATAAAAAATCATCTCAATACATGGACTTAATCAGGCAAACTTTTGCAACTCTAGTCTCTAGACCTCTGAGTATACATCAATCTTGAATTTGAAGCATCATTATCATAGTAAAACACCAAATTTTGATTTAATGAAATTCCAAGTTAAAGTTAACACCCCAAAACAGATAAAATCAAACCAGTAGCACTACCTGGACCAATTCAACTTCGGGAAAACTATTGGCAACCTCCTCCATCACATCCCTCCCGAGCGGCGCGGCCCCCGAACAAACCCACCTCAACGAACCCAAATCAAACCTCCGTCTCATCACCATCCCCTGCTTCGCGAGCCCGATCATCACCGGCGGCACAACGAACAAGTGGCTAACCCTGAACCTTCTCGATTGCCCCCAACATCTTCTCCATCTCGAACCTCTCCATCACCACCACCGTGTTTCCCCCTCGCCAGCTGCGTGTATTCACATCGATAGCCGAAACGTGAAACATCGGCAGAAACAGAGGTACGTCCTCTCCGTTCCCCCACCGTCGTCGGCGGCGATCATGACCCGCGTAGAATGAAGTTGCGGTGGCGTCACACGACTCCTTGCTCCGGTCGTCCCGAAGGAGTAGAGCAGCGCCGCCGTGTCGTCCTGGGTTGATCTCCGGCGGATGCGAATCCTCCGCCGGCCGAGCTGTCCTTGATCAGGTCGTAAAACGTGGGAAAGGAAACATCTTTGCTGGCGTTTTTGGCTAGTAGGATTATTTTGGGAGTTTGAGGGAGGTGCTCTGGGACGAGGTCGGGGACGGTGAGGACGAGCTTGCGCCGGAAGTCTAGGGCCTGCTTCTTGAGCTCGCCGGCGGTGTATTGGGGGTTGACGGTGGTGGCGATGGCGCCGAGGGAGACGATGGAGAGGAAGGAGGCGGGGAGAGGACGGAGTTGGGGTGTGAAGATGAGGACGACGTCGCCCTTGCGGATGCCGAGGCGGGAGAGGGCGGAGGCGAAGGAGGAACGGCGGAGCGGAGCTGACGGAAGTTAGGGTTGCGGCCGTCGGAGTCGGAGTCGACGAGGGCGGGGCGGTCGGGGAAGGAATCGAGGCGGCGGAAGAGGAAGGAGATCAATTGAGAGGCTGGGGTCGGAGGGGAAGCTGATTGAGGGTCAGGGGAGGTGTAGATTCCATGGTGGAGTTGTAAATGGAGGCTGACATTGTTTTGTTGGAGAGGAGGAAGAGATGGAGCTTTGGAGATGGAAGATGGTGGGTTCTTATTTTAGAGTTCTGTTTTGTTTCGAAATTAAGTTGGGGATTGATTGTTACTTTTTTTTTTCTTTTTCCTTCTCAAGATTCTAGAAGGGAGTTGACGGGTTTGGCGTGTGATTTGTGAGTAGGGCACTAGCGACTGGCGATATTTAGGGGGCCGTGGACTTTTTATTTGGCAAGTACATGCATCATCTATATTTATTTTTTCTTCGCGTATTCTGGTCGCCAAATTTATTTTAAAAGAGCACTTCAAATCTTGTGGAAGTTAAAAATAACTCCTTCGAATCTATTATTCAAGTTTGGATAGAGTTTTTTAAGCATTGTTTTTTAGCTCGCGCTTTAACGTGCGAGCCAACTCGCACAGAAACAGGGGTCACAGTGGGTCCCACCCCTTGTCTCTGTGCTTTTTGGCTCGCGCGTTAAAGTACGAGCCAAAAAACATTTTTGGGTTTTTTAAGAGGGGAGGGGAAGGTTTACAATGCTAACCCTCCTAACATTGTGTTTGTTTACACTTTTTAGTTAGCAATGGGAGATGAAGGGAGGGATGAAACGTAAAAAATGTTGTGCGCGGAAGCCAATTATTGTGCTTCGAGGAACCAAACACAAACGCCAAGAGAGAAAGCCAAACAATGCAAAATAATGGCACAAACACAAACAAACAATTTTTATGTGGTTCGGCAAGTTGTCTACGTCCACGGGGCAAGGGGGGATGAGTTTTTCGCTAATAGAGAAGGAGAGTACAAACTGAGATTACAAATTATTCAAAACAAACCAGCTAATCTCACCAACAAAGCTCTCAATCTCTCAAACAATAACCCTAACCAATAGCTCAGAAAGATCTCTCTTTTCTGTACTTAAAATATCCCTTGACTGCTCCAAAGAAACCTTAAAATGTGTTGGTATTTATACCAAACACCAAACCAATTAAGAACAGGAAACAACTCAACTTGGACTTGACCCGACTGATGGTCGACCGCCACAAAGCTCGCGGTCGACCACGATCAAACGATAGAACTAGAAAAATCCTACAGCGGGGGGCCCCCCGCCACAAAGCTCGCGGTCGACCACGATCAAACGATAGAACTAGAAAAATCCTACAGGGTATGGCGGTCGACTGCGGCGGTCAACCGCACGAAGTCCAGACTCGATTCTAGGGTATGTGCATGAATTTAGTCGACCGACCTTGCACCGCGATCGACCGAACAACTCCAAAACTGTTCCCCCTGTGTCCAAAACCTGTTCTTCACCAAATCTTTCGCCAATTCTATAAAAAGTTCAGTCACTTTCTCAACCCTTCAAAGGAGAATGGATTGGGAGGAGAAGGGAGGGGTTTCATGTAGAATTTTCTTAAAATTTCAGTGTTACCCTATATGAGAAAACCAAAAAACGTTCTTTCTTATTTTATTAAAAAAAGGACAAACTGGTCAAGTAGCTCCTATTCCCTTCTCATTCCCTATTCTAAACATACACATATTATAGCTTACCCTCCCATCCCTTCATTGTCTATCCAAACACAAATGAATACATTCCACTATTTTCCTTTTCAA